GCATTTGCTTAAATATACATTAGTCAGCTGGAAGTTGTCTGACTGGTGCGAAATCTTGCCCAAAGATGACCTGGTTTTGTGCGATGCAGATGTGGTACTTTTAATGTGTGTGTGTGTGTGAAGATTTGAATCAGAGAGAAAGCAATGTATTCTTCTTCGTACGTATCTTCGAAATAAATCTACTATTTTCAGCTCGTAACTTCTGGTCACTGTGGGATCGGAAATGTTTAATAGTCGCTTGATCCGTCATCCAGACAGCACCTTCTCATTGCATTAATAAAGTAAGGTCAATGGTTATGCACTGACTCCTGCAACAAAAAACAGCCTCAAAGCAAAAAAAAAAAAAAAAAATGGGCTCCCATCGTCGTACACGTGTGTCCATCCTGACATTAAGTCAAAGCTAGATGATATTTTTCCTCTTTGTTGGAAGGCAAATGAATCCTCACTCAAGAAGAAACTCGAGTATCCGAACACTGTTAATGACTCATATCAAAGTTATCAACAATATATTTACAGTCAAGATGTACTTGAACTAATTATATGGAGAAAAATTGTCCCACAAACTCACTCCAACAATTTAATATTCTTGTGCAGCTGCCGAAAGGATGTTTTGAGAACAATGGACGCAGAGCTCAAGAATAAGATCATTTCCAAAGATAATATTAACATTCTAAAGTGAACAAATGGCGAGGGAGAGAATAAATTACATCAGGGGATTAAAATATCATCTGGAGATAATAAGAAAGAAAGAAACTCCCTTTCAATTCTTTGTACCAGGCTCCTTCCTCCATACCATATATTTACTATAGTCAGATTAAACCAAAAATAAATTATTGCTGTCATATCTAAGGTTAGAGATCCCTAATCCTCACTTTGCAGTCTTGAATGAGTTCAAAATCATTTACACGGCCTTGAGGGCCATGAATTATTTTTCAACCTTACAATCATTTTCCCACAGACGTAATACCGCAAGCCTATCGCTACTATCACGACAAATTTTCAGGCGAGCTACATTCCGTAGTTTCACCAGCTCAAACCTTTAAGATCCACCAGGCCACGTACACAGGGTCAAATCATCCTCATTCCCTTCGTATGTCATTGGTAAGATGGATGTTCTTACCGAGAACTGCAAGAGTAATCTACCTTCTCTCCAGAGTCTTCCTTGTACTGTGCAAACATTTAGTAAAGAGAAGAAAGAGTACAACTAACGACAAGGAAAATCCAGAGAGGACGCCAATAAATTGGAACAATGTTAGCTCTTCTATTCTCAAACTTTTAGACATTTCTAAACACTGGTCAGTTCATGACAGAAATTAATTGATTCCGATGACGAGGTTTGTCTATCGTCCAGTTCACACTCCTCCTTAGTCTTTTTAATAGGAGCAGAGGTTTAACACTACTTCCCTGTTTAGAATTGGGTTTCCGATCGCTTCTAAAGTCTACAATTCTATAATTCTAACATATCTGCCTGAATTCTATGATCCGGCTCATAGAACCTCCGCCATTTTTTTTTTAAACAGGAGTAGAGGTTTATCCCTTGTTTCCTGTTTAGGATTGGGTTTCCGGTTCTTTCAACTCTGTATTTCTGACGTCGATGCCTGAAATCTGAAATTTTATTCATTAATTATTATTTTTTTCGTCTCCCATCTAGTTCATGCACCTCCTCGGTCTTTTGAACAGGAGTAGAGGTTCATCCCTTGTTTCCTGTTTAAGATTGAGTTTCCGGTTTCTTCTAAAGTCTGAAATTTTATTCGCTAATTAAATCTTGCCCCCCCCTTCAGGTGCAGAATCAGTTATCTTTCTTATTATCTTAATACAACACCACACAGTAGCTTGAGTGGCACTTGGACCTTGTATTCTGTTAACATTAGTATAAAAAAAAACGTACCTTTATTTTTCAAATCATAATTCTCTGAGGAGGAGACAAAAAAAGTTATATTTAGGAGGTCATTAGTTTTTCGTCTTAGATGATCTATTTATTTGTTAGATTTAGAATGTGAAAAACGATAAAACTTTTTTTTCGCTTTTGTGGGTGGTGATATTTTTCATCTGAAAAACGCATTTATAGACTTGAAATAAAATTTCTATTTAACGTATTTTACTCGTAATATCCTCACATTACCCAGGGCACCTAGGGGTGGTGTAATGGTTAACAAGCTTGTCTCGCTAGAACAATTACAACTGAGTAGTGAGTTCGATCCTCATTGGGTGCCCCTTACATTCGGCCATGTGCCACATCTGAGCTACGATTGGAAAATCACTATCCTTACATTACCCATAAAGTAGATGATTTGTAGATGCCGACATATATGAAACAGATAACGTGTTATAGACGGTAGGATCTTAAAGCAATACTAAGACAAAGATGCGAATATACATATAACATTACCTTTCTTCTATGGAGCTCAGCTTTTGGGGTTAGTAGCAGAGATTTATTCTTTTGCGTTTAACTTTTTCATTTGTAACATATTTTTCCTCATTTGAATGGTTAGGATGACAAATTCGTTCTTTTAATTGGCTACTAAAAAGGGAAATTACTTATGACTCAACCTAATAGTAGCCTATTATAAAGTAATTTACTAAACGTAGCTTAGATGTGGCACAAAGCCGAAAGTACGGGATCGAACTCACTACTCAGTTGCAATGGATCTAGCAAGACAAGCTTGCTAACCATTACACCATGTTGAAATGTTCCAGCGTATGAGTTGAAAAATTCCAAACAAATAACAATCAGCTATCCCGGGCTCCTCGGCGTGGTGTAAGCTGGTCTTGCGAAAACTGTTACAACTGAATAGTGAGTTCGATCCTCACTGGGTGCCCCATACTTTCGGTCATGTGCCACATCTAAGCCTCGCTTAGAATATCAATAACAATCAGCTATCCCTAAAAAAAAAAGAATGAAATAAAAAAGATATGAACACTTTTAATGTCATGCTCAAATAGCGGTTTACATAGATGTGTATTTGTATACATCTAGAGCAAGTGTGTCCCACTCGAAATTTAACTCATGTATTTTTTGAAAAACCATCCATATCTGTATCGTACGAGTTATACGAAAAACACATGCTACCTCCCGCTTGGCCAAGTAAAACCCACCACCTACTTAATTAAGATGGCCAACATGCAGGATTCTTCTAAAAAAAAAAAAAGAGGCTTATTTCATTGTTCTAAACTGAATATAAAAAAATCTTCAGGACATAGGTGATCATAAGACTCCACATCTTCCTTTTCTTTAATATCTGTCAACTGAAATGACTTCTTAGGAAATATAATGGCCATCTCTGCGGTTTTGGCATTCTGAGTTCTGTGACCAACTGCTAGATTGTCCCCGTTTACTTTTCTTTACAACCCATAGCTAAGAGGGTGAAAAGATCGACACTTGCCTTTCGCAAAAAATAAAAGAACAAGAATTAAGAAAACATAAGATAATGATTGACATTGCATTTAAATTTTTGAAGATCAAAGTTGACTGGGAAGCAAGAAGCCGAAAGAGAGTTCCATAAGCGAAAAGTGCGATAGAAGAAACAGCATAGAACTTACGGTTACATCTAGCCATTCCAACTATAAAATGATGAGAACTTGCCACCAATCTAGTACTGTGCTTAAATTCATGAAGTCTAGGTACCATAGAGGAAAGAACAGTTACCATGAAAGTATTTATAGAAAAGACACAGGGAAGCTACGTTATGGCGGTGAGAAAGTGAGTGAAGCTGAGATGCCAGGTCAGGAACAATAACATTGCAGATTCTTCTTTAGATTTTATCGAGAATTTCTAAATATATAGCAGATGCACCAAACCAGATGTAGCAGCAATATTCAAAACTAGGAGAAATGGTAGACTTATAAATATATAAGATAGATTCTCGTGAGGAAGATTGTCTAGCACAACATAGTGAAGCAACTTTCTTAGATGTAGACTTAGTAATTGATTCAATATTCTCTTTCCACTTCGTCTCAGCTGAAAACGTTAGTCCAAGAAGGCGCAATGAGTCACACTACTGGAGGTTAGCATCAGCCATGTTTATGGATGATAAACAGATTTTCCGTGAATAAGAACTTACGTCAATCACCTATGCTAACGCATTTGTTAAGTAATACTCTAGGAATAAACAACATAATTCTATGACATGTTAACATAATTAGGACAAAAAACACATTTAGGACATAAATATAATATATATAATGAAATGAAAGTTATAAATATTGTCGATTCCAATCTTTACTAGGAATCACTATAAAACAAGTCTCTCCCCATTTTATAGGCCGAAACACACAAATGCATGCTGGGATTTTTTCCGAGCCAATAAAATAAGCCGTTTCTCGGTTTCATCTGACACAGTCCTGGTCTGTCTTATCTTGAACTCAGAACGCTACGTTCGCTGATCCGAACTTGCTCTTGTATGTCGACGCCAATTCTTAATTTGTGAAATTTGTGTCTTATGACTGTTAATTTGCCATTGTATATATTGATTGTTTGCTTGCTTTATATTATTTTTTGCCGTGTTCTTTTCATTTTCCCGTTCTTACTTATTGCAAACTTTGTCAATTCTGTTTGTTGGGCAGTTCTGTTACTTATTTTGCATTTGACCATGGCTACACACTCCACACATATAATGAAATGAAATTGTTTGAAGAAACTTGTTTATTTATTGCCAGTGATGTCATTGGCTTTCGGTAGATGACATGACGAAACGTAAGATTTTGTCAGTACTCGGAAGCAGGGGAAGAAAAAAAAACAAATGTTGAGTTTGTTTTTCTTTTTTGTCGGGAAGTCACCAACTTATAGTTTAACAAGAAAATGTCCTTATGTCTTACATGGAAGCTCAATATGTATATACATATGTACATGTTTTAAGCGACAGTTAAACGACTCAAGACAAGCTAGCGACCAATGTCCGTCGCTGTTTCTCTCTTTTCAAGGCGTTTAACAATGTCTCATTTCACTTCCATGGTAATGGCTTTCCTTTTCTCCGAAGCACCGTCATCGGAAGTGGTTACAC